AACGCGCCGAGCCGACACAGAAAAAAAAAAAACAAGAGAAAGAGGAGCGGGTTGCTGGGGGGGGGGGGGGGGGGGGGGGGGGGGGGGGGGGGGGGGGGGGGGGCAGAGGAGGTCAGATGATCAATTCCTATCTTCGAAGGAAGTATCGTAGTTTCGTTGAGGGTTTCTCAACTACTTATAAATTCCTATTTTTCTGTTCGTCGCCGTTCCTGTACTTTCCATAGAAGCCAAATCATATCTGTGATGAATGGTACTGCAACAATAATACATGCTTTCATATTAACAGCCTATTGGTCAATAACGCATCATGAAACAACAATAACTTCATATCTGGAAAACGAAACTCATCCACTACCAACTATTCCTGTCACATCCGTGGCTTCGACCATAATTGGAGACACCATAGCAACCTCGAAGTTCAGCGCAACTATTGATTTTGCAACGACCCTCGACTCTGCTACAACTGAAGAAACTATAGCAACAAGCTCTTCCATAGCTATTCACTCTACAACAAGCTCTGAGTCCACAACGACTACTGATTTTGATACAACTGTGGACTCAACGACAATGCCAAGTACAAGAACACAATCACTGTTGTCAACAGCTAATGATTCTATCACAACCTATGATTACACAATAACAACTAGTCCTACAATAACAGAAACTGCTACAACAATACTTGCTTCTATGACAACAACTGATGTTGAAATAACGGATAGTTTCTCAACAACAATTCTTGCTACTACAACAACTATATATATAATAACAGCGACTTCTACTGTAATGACTACTACAACGATAGATAATTCCTCAACAACACCTGCCTTTACTGCAGAAGGTACTTACATAATAACGATTATTTCTACTACAATGTCTACAACTACAACAATGGATGCCTTCACAACGACAACTACAACAGTGGATGCCTTCACAACGACAACTACTTCCACTTCAACGAGTACTTATATCATAACAGATACTTCTACTGTAATGTCTACAACTACGACAATGGATGCCTTCACAACGACAACTACTTCCACTTCAACGAGTACATATATCATAACAGATACTTCTACTGTAATGCCTACAACTACAACGATCGATACCACTCCGACAACACCTACTTCTACTGCAACGGGTACTTACATAATAACGGCGACTTCCACTACAATGTCTACTACAATGACGGATGTTTCCACAACAACAACTCCCTACATCTCAACGGGTACCTACATAATAACAGCGGCTTCCACTGCAATATCTACAACTACAGCTACAACTATCGATACTTCCTCCACAGCAACCACTTCTACTGAAATATCTACTACAATCACGGATACCTCCTCAGCAACGACAACCTCCACTGCATTGTCTACTACAATGGCAGATGTTTCTACAACAACAACTTCCTATACTACAGAAGGTACTGACATAATAACGGGTATTTCTACTACAATGTCTACAATTACAACGACGGATACTTCCTCAACAGCAACTACCTCTACTACAACAGGTACTTACATAATAACAGCCACTTCTAGTACAAAGACTACTACAACAACGGTTGCGTCTTCAATAACAACTGTCTCAACAACAACAGCTAGTGTTACAAATACACTTCCTCCACATTGCAACGAAAGTAGCGAATTGTTATTGTTTAATGATATTTGCATGTCAAAACTTGAGGTTCAGGTATGTAGAAAAAGGTTACTTTTTGTTCTTAATGAATTCCTTTTCTCATACAGATGAATATGGTCACTATTTTACGTAATAATACAAACAATGCGACTGCTGTAGCATATGCTCTTTCATACTATTTCAGTTCAATTGCAAATACAAATTTATCAATGAATCCAAATTATATTTTATTACCTGCAGAAATCGAGAAATTTATTGATAGTCTCAGTAACATTACTTTAATTATCAATACTAATACATCATTTATGATGGTACAACAACTTAGTCAACATTCGAACGTAACAACTCTCGGTGCTGCATTCACGCATGATATCGGCGGTGGAATTGTAAATACATCAAATGAGAATAATATATTAAATTCAAATATAACAGCTGGAGCTTCTCTCGCTTACGAATCATTAATTGATGTTACATCCCTCAATATGTTAATTATTGATAAGCCCATTTTGTACGAAAATATAGATATTACGAGTGAGAAAACTCTTGCATCATCAGTCATCGTGGTCATCCGAAAAAGAAATAATGATGTATCAACATCAATGAATATTTCTCTGTTTTTTCAAGTTTTAAATGAATATGCACCGAAACATTTGGCAGAATATTTTTGTTCATTCTATGATACAATGAGTTCGAAATGGAATGAATCCGGTTGTACGAAACCTCAACATATTCCAGCATTTAATCGATATGAATGTAGTTGTAATCATTTGTCTACTTTTGGACTCGTTTGGATGCCAAAGATCATTACTTGCAATAATTCTACTCACGTAGAACTTCCTGACCACAGTTGTGTTTCTAAACCTGATGCCCAAGTCTGTTCACAAGACTTTTAGTGTTTTTCTTTATGTGAATATTGGTTTTTAGGCATTGGCAGTGAACACATTGCGAAATACAACAAACTCAACTGTTATTGCTAATTATCTATCAATTTACATAAGTTCAGTTACGAACTCAAACGCAGCATCAAATTCGACACATACGTTGCTCATCGATGACATCGATATGTATCTTAGCAATATCAAAAACGTGAGCTTAACAATAAACACTAATAATTCAATCCTTATAGCACAACCAACAAAGCAAGAAGGTAATGTAATCGTTTTAGGTGCTTCATTCACACATGGTTTTGGTGGCCAGCTTATCAATACTTCAAATGTAAACGATGTAACTAAGTCAAACTTCTCAGCAGCTGCTATTATTAACAATCCAGTTTTAAGTGGTATTACAGCTCTTAGTATGCTCATCATCGACAAGCCTACAGCCTATGAAGATCTAGATAAGTCAAAGAATAAAAGCCTTGCATCATCTGTCATTATCGTAGCAGTGCAAAGAGATGGTTCTCCATCAGTTCCAATGAATATTTCTCTTTATTTTCAAGTTTTAAGCGATTATAAACCCAATATAAGTGTCAATTACTTTTGTTCATTTTATGATGCAACTAATCGTACATGGAATGAATCCGGTTGTACGAAACCTCGATATAATCTGGCATTTGATCGATATGAATGCAGTTGTAATCATACAACTACGTTTGCTCTTGTTTGGTTACCTAAATTACCTCTAACACGTTATCTTAATGCACAAGACATTGCATCACTTATATTTCAATCAATTTCAATTTGTTGCTTTTTAGCCATAATTATCCATGCAATTTTTATACGAATTCGAGATCCAATTATAAGTTTACAAGCAAATGATTTACTGCCATTCATTTCATATGCGGTAACAATGATTCTTTTTATTTTTTATATTGGTCTAGCAATGACAGTTTATACAAAAACAACATATGATGATGAAAAACAATGTTTTTTAAGTTCAAGTATATTGATGTTTTTCGTTTATTTCTTTTTGATTTTTATGTTTTGCATCAAAACAAGTGTCGCATATTTTTATTATATCCAATTTGTTTGTTTATTTCCTCCACCATCACATGGACGATTGCTTGTAATGCTTGTCATTTCATTTTTTATTTCGATTACATGGGTTGCTTTTGCAGCTGGATTTAATTCTAATCTATCATTTCCAATTACTGAACTATATCCATATAAACTTTGTTGGTTTACTCGTGATGTTATTTATTATTTTTTGACTATACCTGTTGGTGTATTTTTATTAATCAATATATATATTTTTACTCGTGTAGTTCAACGTATACTGAATCATGTGCGACATGCAACGACACAACATCAATCATATGAAAAAATGAAACGACGTGTACTTGTTTTACTGTTATCATGTGCTACTCAAGGTATTGGTTGGATTCTTGGTCCATTTCTTACGTTTGTTAATACAGACACAGCGAATGTTTTAGGATGGTTTTTTAATCTATTTAATGGGCTAGAAGGTCTTTGGGCTATTATTTTATATATGATAATTCGATCACAACGTTGGGATGAACAAAAACGAGCCTTAGCTGCTCGAGCAATAAGAAAAGCTAAAGAATCGAAATTGATATCTCGTAAACACAAGAAATATTTTAGAGAAGATAATGAACAAGAAGATGGTAGCATTGCACAAGACAGCGAAATTAAATATCGAAATGCAGAAAGAGATACTTCACGTTTATTTGATGATCTTCGTGATATTAAAATCACGGATTCCCGTGTTGATGATAATACTCTTACATCATACTATTAAAAGAATAACTGCTAGTTGTAGTATTGATTTAGCTAAGTTTTCTCTCAATAAAATCATTCAAATATGATACCTAGTTGCTGTTATAAATAATCTATTGATAATTTTTATAAAATCGAAATTTATAATTTGTTACGTTACTGTTCACTAAACGGATAAAATTCACCAAAAAGCGAACTAAAATCTACAAGGATATCTAAAAGTTAAAGATGCATTCAAAATAAAAGTGCTGTTTCAATATGATTAGAGCATCAAAAATGTTCGAACACGAACATATCAGTTTTAGTGACTAGATGAATATTAGGTTAAATTATAGCATTTCCTCTAACAAGAAAGATATATAATATATATTGCATTCATAATTTTGTTCTCATTCTGCTTGATAAGACGTATGTAATACCACTGTAGGTACGTGGTGTACTGTTCGTTTATTTAAGCTTTCGCGCGCATCTCGAAGTGTAAAATCTTCGAAGTTTTCACGTAAATGTATTCTATCCCTTGATTTAATCGAATCCACCATCAACAACTAGACATGAACACAAATCAAACGTATGGACAGACAGTCTAATGAGCAAATCATCAGTTCGCTTTCTGTCCAAACAGAAATGACTCGAATGATCAAGTGCTGTTACAGCAATTGATTAATAATAATGGTCAACCTATTGAACAAACACATCGAGCGCCTGTTAACCAGATCACATTATCCAATCTTGGATAGTAATTATTTCATCAACATCAACAAACGGTCCAACAACAATACGTGTCATCGAACTAAGGAATGCAACAATGTATACCACCACTTATGAAAAAGAAAGCAAGACACATATCAACAACAAGCATCTTTCTTCTCTCATTGCATATCAACTAATAATGTTATTCCTCGCTCAACATTGATGAATCAGCCGATAGTGATGTCCACGTCTGGACTAACAAATATAAATAATCTCATGGCACAAGTCTTCAACAGACTTATTGACGATGTAAGTAGATTATTTGATGCAAGTGTCAATAAACAGCAAGCTGGTCAACAACGTCCTCAAAGTCATGCTCCTCGATATTTTTCACCGAAAAAATTAACAGCAATAACAATAAACGAGCAAAATTCTAATGATCTACCTACGCCTTCTGCTCAAGCAAACTTACAACGTGTTTAAATTTCTGCTGCCGCATTCCATTTCGCATCTATACGATGTCCTTTTATGGAACTCGCATATATTTTTGAAGAAAATAGTGAGTGTAAGTTTTAAGGTCAAGTTTTCCCGGGTCCCGCTCCTCTATTACAGATACTTAGCAGCGAAAGTCCTCATTACAGACCTTAGCAATCAAGAATAATAGGCGTTACATTTTCAAGATCTTTTTGCAAAATTCATCAAGTTATAATTTTGAAAAATAATGAATATCATTATGTGTGAGTTGATTAGTATATATATGATAGTATGTAAGATTTGCTGTAGATATCATGAATATATAAAACTGACTTATTTCTCAATGAGTTCAATGATTATAATAAGAAGAATATTAAATTAAGAAAAAAGAATTAAAAAAAATGAAAAATAATAAGCGAATAGCAACAATGAAAACAAAAAATAGGGCACTCGTAAAAAAATGAAAAAGTTCTGTTCGAAATAAAGAAATTAGAGAGATTCTTGCTTCAGTGATTGATTATTCTGCAAAACAATTACAGTCTACGAGAGTTTTTTCACTTTACGTATTTTGTACTAGTTTAATAAGCCTAGAGAGCATATATGAGTTCCACATTTCAGCTTCAAAGGGGCTGCACTAACAAAGTTTTTCTCCATTTTTAATCTCGTTCAAAACAGTCGTAAAAGTCAAGCTGGTGATCGATGAACTGATCAAACATGGCAAAGAAATCAATGTCGATTTGAAGATTGTCGCCTATCGACATAAAAGATTGGAAAATGATCATTGCATTCTTGTCTTCGTTGATAACATTGATTCATTTTGTTTTCTAAATAATGATTCTAATCGGCCAACATATCTGTGTTATTCTTCCAAACGTCTCGTTGAATATTGATTGGAAAGAGTTTGTGCAAAGTATTAAAGAACAATATCAAAAGATGTTCTGCAAAAAATATTCTCTCCTAGAATGACTTTGACTTATTTTCCAATATTATAGAAAAGTGACATGCGTCACAGACCTTATCGTCTTGTTTATCTCATTGGTCTTCATTCACTAGACGGAAATCTCTTTCTTGTCTTTCGTTTCTATGCGCCCTTTGCTTTAACGTTCATAGTATAGATGCGAGATAGGATGAAGTCTATCTACTTTCAAATAAATATCAGTTCGATATTCTCGGTCTCTGCGAAGTTGATAAAGTCGATACTTCACTACTCGAAGGAACGTATCCCGATTACAGGTTTTTCTACCAAGCGGAAGATTATACTCACGGTGGAGTTATTGTACTTACTCATCACAGTATTAGTGTCTCACGCGTAGCATGTTCGTTACCAACTGTGTGCGTTGTGGACGTACATCTAGAGATACCTTTTCGTCTAATCCATATATATGCTCTAGCCAGCAAGTCTTGGTCATGCAATGATCTCTCACGTTTTACTACTGCATCTTATGTTATTAATTAGGGATTTTAACGTTGATTTAGAAAACAATGGCGATAAATTCAGTACTCTGCTTAACTCAATAGATAGCTGTGGAGTGACACTTTATATACCTGATACATATACTTCTCTTCGATCCGATCGTACAATCGACTATTCTTTAGCTGCTGGAATTGAAATCTCTATTCAAGTATACGAAGGTCATACAATAAGTGATCATACACTTATCATCTGCATTTTACCTTGTGAACATCGTGAAACATGCATGGCATCTAAAACGATATGGACAGTATTCTCGTTTTTTCTGTCGTATACTTTCGAGTCTTGGAATAATCAATGGGATAAAAAACATTACGACGTAACATACGATTTATTCATTGAATTTCTGGCCGCATTGGTAGCTTGTTGCACCTCGTATTTTTCAAGTAAATTATCGAGAGCAGCCGTGTCTCCGGATCTTAAAGCTCTGCTGCTTCGTAGTCGATCATAGGCATTTAAATCAAAAGGAAAAAGAAGTATTGTGCTTCGAAAAGAAGCACGCCATATGTCGTAACGCTGCACGCGCTCAACTTAGAAGATTTCAACAAGAATTACTTGGTAAGAATCTAGCCGATCACCATAAATCTTAGAAAGCATCAGCACCTTTTTCGAAGTCACAACAAGAGACATTGTTATGTAGCATCATCTTCACTTCGTGAGTTCATCTCAACGCAAGGAGAATTCATCAAGGAGCCTCAAAACATGGCTAATCTTGCAGCTAATCATGATTAACAACTTTTCAAAGAACCA